ATATGTTACAAATATTGATAACGACTAACCAAAAAGTAGCTGCCTGCAGAGACTTTAAAATGTATATTAAAGATGTATGCTGCCCATCAGCAATTCTCATTAGAAGAAAGAAGTTAACTTATTTTATTCTGTATATATTCTAGAAACTGTATAGTGCAAAACCAGTATTTTTCTTGTACATTTGTGCAATGCACTGTTATGAGGGTAGGTGTACAAAGCTATGAGGGAAGGGGGAAGCTCCCTGGTGGTAGTCACATGCATGACTTGCAACCTGAGTAGTCTGCAGGGCTCAGACCAAGAGTTTGAGGCACAACCGTGCGTCTTCAGGACTCCAGCCTAAGGAAGTGGGACTATATAAGAAAAATGACTACCAAAACATGCAAACAGGCAATATACTCATAGCTCAGTGTCAAAGTCTGTAGCATAAAAATGAACTGGATTCTGTTGAAACCAATAACATTTTGTATTTAAAAAAAAAGGCAAAGAAAAAATAGAATGTAGTCCCATGACTCCTGTGATTTGAAAGGAACACCCAGTATTTTTATATACATCTCTTACCCACTGTGATTTTTTTAAATGGGCTCTAATTCCAGAGTTTAGAATGTAGAACTGAAATTCTTAGCTCTGCCTTTTGGGGGGAATTGGACCCCCCTAGAAATGTAATTATGCTGAAATGCATTAATTGAAGGCACTGTGCACGCTGTTGGACTGCTGACAGTAGTTATGTTATCTTAACAAGCTCTGTAACTGGTCAAGGCACATCCATAATCACTGTATTTTTTTTCCTGACCCTGATAAAATTGAATTATTTTGATGGTTTGTGGTACTGTAGATGGTGTTCTTAATTATTTAATAAGTATTTACAGGGGATAAGTACTTTTATTTAGTGGTGCATTACATTTTTTTATTTACATCATCTTTTATCAGTTTTTTTTTTTTTTTTAAAAAAGACATTGTATCTATTTTGTCTATTTTACAAGCCACAAATACATATATATATAGAGTGTATTTTAAGTGTTTAAATAATTGAGTCAGCTAAGCACTGACAATATTAGACTCCCAGATCTTAATGGATGGCAAGTTTTTTTTTTTCTATATCCTGGCAAATCTATATTTTTCCTATATCCTGGCATTTTCCTAGACATCTTCCTCACCTAGCCTCTTTGACAGGAAAGCATTAAGCCAGTTTGGCTGCAATTCCTTTTGCTGATTTGGCCTTTATCCACTTCTCAAAGTGACACACAAGCTGTTGGCTGACAGGTACCTGTCAAACCTAAAGCCATGGTAAAGGGTATGTCTAAAGACAACTGCAAATCCGACCTGCTGTGTACTGCATACATACTGACTGAGCTAACCTTAAAAATATATATACCTAAAACACCCAAAGCTGCTTCAAAAACCCGAAACAATTTCCCGAGACAGCAGTAGAGGGCAAGTTCACGCGGTGCCTGGCAGGAGGACAGCGGGAGGCTGCTCCATTCTGCCTTGCGCAGCCGCACGCACCCCGGTGAAGCTGAGGCTGGGACCTCCTGCGCACGCTGCCAAGGACGTGACCCAGAGGTGAAGTGGAAAAGGATACGGGATCGTCCTTCAGCATCAAGCAGGAGGTGCCTGGAATACGTAAGCAGAGGACGGGGAGAGCTCCTGCCGCTGGGGACCACAGAGCCCTGTTCCATTCCTGCGGCTGAGACCGCAGAGCTGCTCCAGGAGAGAAACTCCTCACAGGAGAGCACCACCTTCCCTCAGCAGCCCCTTCCAGATCCACTCCCATGGCACCTCCAGCCTTTATCCTCATCCTGAACCATTGCTGCAGCCAGTGCTGGGGCTGTGATGCCCATTTCTGCCCTCCACGAGAAGCCCCTTGCAGGGCAGCACACCCCTCCCCTGGGCAGACCCACTCCAGGAACACCTCCACGCTTCTGCTTTCTCCCCACCTCTCAGCTATTCTCCTACCCCACTGCTGTTTCTTAGGACTGCTGGGATCGAGAGGACAATTATTGCCCCCGACAGGAACTCGCCTCAGGAGAGGGCTCTGGGCAGCACCCACCTTCTTTGGCTGCCCCTTTGCAGACCAGTCCAGCAGCATCTCCAGGTTTTTTCTCAAATCTAACCCAAACCATGCTCAGGCCAATGCTAGGACTGCGACCTACCCAGGAGAAAGGCCTCACAGCAGTTTGTGGCAGCTCCTGAAGCACTTGCTCCAGCAGCACCTCCAGGCTTTCTTCTGTCCTTAACCAATTCCTCAGGCCAATGCTGGGTCCGTGACCCCTCGTTAGCATCCCAGAGGTGACACTCCTCACAGGACAGCTCTCACCACAGCATGCGCCTTCCTTTGGCAGCCCCTTCCCACACAGGCTCCAGCAGCAGCTCCCGGCTTTCTCAACACTAAACTTCACCTTAGCCCTAAACCATTTCACAGGCCAATGCTAGGACTGTGGACTCAAAGCTTGAGATGAGGAAAAAAAAGTGTGCCCCTGGGCCACCCAGCTAGCAGTGCCCAGGGAAGGGTTTAGGGTTCAGAGAGAGGGGCTGTGGGTGTGGGAAGGGGCTGCCACAGGAAGGCGCATGGTGCCGAGGGCCCTGCTCATGGGGAATGTCTTGTGTGAGGCGGGGTGTTTATTCCCAGCCTTGGCCCAAGACATAGGTTAGGTGAGCAGAAAAGCCCAGAGGAGGTTCCCCTGCAGTGGGGCAGCACAGGGCCTGCTGAAGGAAGCAGTGTGCTGCCTAGGGACTCATCCTTGACGAGCTGAATATTGCTGCAACCGCACTCGCCCTGTCCCTGCCTCAGGGGCGTTGCAGGAGCTGGAGAAGGCAGCTATTTAAGCCTTAATCAACTGCTTAAACTTTGGTCAGCTAGGTCCCTTTCTTGCTGCTGTGATAGACACATGGAACAAAAGCAGCAGTTGCTTTGATGACAGTTGGTGTTTGGATAGTTGAACTACATACCTGGAGGACCACTCTAAGATGCCGTAAATGTCACTGCAGGATATTGCCAATATAACTGCCTGAGGATCAGTGCAGTCACAGAGTATCACCCCCAAAGCATTGCTTTAGGGCTATCTGCACCAAAACAAAACAGTCAACTGCACTTATTTTTTACTAGTTGCCACAGGACTTCACACTTTGATTGCAAAACCTGAGTCCTTAAGCTCATTACCGAAGTGAGCAAACTAACCTCAGCTGTTTCAGAAGACCATGAATTTTCAAATCTGGAAGACAAACAGGAAAACCCAAACTGAAAGATGGAGATCATAACATCCTTACAGGGAACGTGCTGGGGAGCACCCAGGGCAGGAAAGGCTGTAGTTTTACTTTTCAGGTTGAACACAGTAAGGATAGAACTTAATATGAGAGCCTTTGCTTTGAGCAAGCTGGCAAAGCTAGAAGTTTTACTCTGATACAGAAGGAGAACAAAACAGAAAGAACAACTTTCAAGTGGCAGCATAAAAACACCCTGTGCTCTGAAGGTATCGGATCTGCTACCTGTTCCCAGAATACACCATGCTACTACAGCGACTACAACATCAATAACTAAACTCATCTAGCAACAACATGGTATTGAAGTATTAGCCCTTAATTCCTGCAGCAATACTGAGGCAAATTAAAATACAAATACATAACTCACCACGCTGTGCATCAGCTATAGATTAACACTGGCCCCTCTAAATGGGCACTGCTTGATGGAGAGGACAGCATTTGCCTGCTCTGACATACAGTAGTTCCCATTTACAGAGGAGAAAGTCCCCAGGTGGTGAGCTATGTTTTCTTGATGTCTTGCTGTATTCAGCTCTTCTGCTTAGGAGAGTGGTCATGAGGTGCAGGCTTAAGATTGTTACAGATAGAGATAAGCCTGTCCTTCCTAAGGGAAGTTATCTTAAAAAGAGATCTCCAAAAAGCTTAGTGCAGCATAATTTCAAAATTAGCAGCTTTATTAACATCCTCGGAAAAGTAGGTTTTCCATAAGTTTCCCAAGCTTTTCATAGCTTGGAGGTAGCCTAGTGGGATGTAGGTTCTACAACCTGGCAATTCTCTAGTCCCAGAGTCAGCCTGCAAAGTTTGCCAGTATTTGCAGAACCCTACACAGACTGTTAGGGTTTACAGCAACAGCAGCTTTTGGACAGCATCACCAGCAACAGTGCTGGTTCTGCTATCACTACAGAACACAAGAACAGAAGAGAACCTTAGTAGCAAACCCAATCCCAGAAGAGCATCTAAGTGTAATTCTTCCCCTATGACAGGCTACATCAGAGCTAGAGCAAACGCTCAAGCATAAGGCACTTAGGCTGTAGTGCTTTGTGCATTATTTGCAGCTAGGAGGAAGCTGGGCAAGTGTGAGATCACATTGTGATTGTGCCTCAATAACCTCATTGAAGCAAGATTCATTTCCAAAAACCACTGCATCAGTGACTCCCTTCCCACCAGTTTGTGATAACTCCCTAAAGATGCATTGACACAACCACACACTTTTTCACCTCTAGCCTACAGAACAAGGATATTACCACAGCTAAGCACAGACAAGCTCTACTGACAGAAGTGATCTATATATGGTGTGTCTCAATCATATTACCGTGGTGAAGGAGGCTTCCTAAATGGAATATCAGTGTGCAAAGTAAGAGAAGATTATTAGATGCTTTGTTCAAGAATGATGTTCTACTTCATCAGTTCATGAATTTTAAGAGGATAAATTTTAAGTATGTGATTAATTCAAGGGTAGAAAGAATGGAAGATGTCCCTTCCCATTTGAGATGCTACAAGGTCCCAAGTCAACTGCTGCCAAGACCATCACTAATCTGAGAAACATTATAATTTCCATAAGGAAGAACCTATTAATGTACATCCTCTGACTTGGGCATAAACCTGCCTGATCACTTGGAAGTGCTTTGCAATACTTTTATTTACATGTTTTCTAGCTACACCTCACCAAGTACCTTCAAACAACAACAAAAAACTTCTGCTCTACTTGCAGTTTTGTAGAAGAGCCCTAAACAAAAATACTCCACTCAGATAATATACTTGAAACTGAAGTTGCTATCACAAGAGAGGCGTTTGCCTTTGCACCTCCCGCAGAGGTCTTGGCGATGGGGCCTCTTGGGATCCACGTGGCGCATCTTCACAGGGCACGTGCACCACGTCCGCTTGCAGCTCTGCGGAGAGGCACAGGGCGGTAGCGGCGTGTTGTGAGAGGAGACGAGACGCGCCGGGCGGCCCTTACCTGGCAGGTGATGTCCTCCACGCGGTAGGGGTTGTAGGACTTCTGGCAGGTGCGGCAGAACTGACGGAAATAGACCTGCGGGAGCGGCGGCCGTGAGCGGCTTGCGGCGGGACGGGGCACACAGCGGGACGGGGCGCGTGGGCCTACCTTGTTGGTGCCCTGCACGCACCACACGTAGGCGCTCTCCCAGCGGATGTTGCAGTCCTTGCAGTGGTAGTAGCCGTACTTCTGCTCCCGGAACTGCCGGCAGGGACAAAGGGACAGCGC